CTGGGCAGCTTCCCAGCCACTCTTCCCCAAGCCTGTAGCGCTGCATGGGGTTGTTGTGGCCCAAGTGCAGGACCCGGCACTTGGCCTTGTTGAACCTCATACAAGTGGCCTGGGCCCATCGATCCAGCCTGTCCAGGTCCCTCTGCAGAGCCTTCCTACCCTCGAGCAGATCAACGCTCCCGCCCAACTTGGTGTCGTCTGCAAACTTACTGAGGGTGCACTCGATCCCCTCATCCAGATCATTGATAAAGATATTGAACAAGACCGGCCCCAAAACTTTGGGGACTTTGCACTTCTCCTTGTTGAACTTCATGAGGTTCCTGTCAGCCCATTTCTCCAGCCTGTCAAGGTCCCCCTGGATGGCAGCACAACCCTTTGATGTACCAGCCACTCCTGCCAGTTTGGTGTCATCTGCAAATTTGCTAAGGGTGCACTCTGCCCCATCATCCAGATCTTTAATGAAGATGTTGAACAGGGTTGGGTCCAGTACTGATCCCTGGGGTACACTGCTAGTTACTGGCCTCCACCTAAACTTCTTGCCACTGATCACCACTCTCTGGGCCTAGCCATTGAGCCATTTTTCAGTCCATCTGAATGGTGGAATGGCAGCGCGTTACCCGTTTTTCCGTTTGGCAAGCATCACATCAGAACAGGCTGTGAATGGAGGTTTACAATGGAGTTTTGCAGATGTTTTGAAGACTTCCTTACTAGTATAAGGTGCAGCCTAGAAAAAGCACAGAAATAGGTATCTGAAAATATATCACAGACTGATGTGAGGTGGGAACTGGAGTCTGAATGCTGAATGAGTGGGAATAGGTAAAGCATGAAGGGTCTATGAGGCCTTTGAAAATGAGAGCAAGCAGCTTCTGGCTTGGTGAAAAAGCTTCTCGCTTTTTCATTTGTATGAATTGGCAAAGACAACACTGGAAAATAAGAATCAATATATATATTGTCATTTTATTCTTAGGGTCTACAGTATTTCATTAGATAGGGCAGTTTCTCTTAAGGTAGTCATATCTACTTTATTTGTAACTCTGCAGTCGAAATACCTTTGGATAGTGATAATTTGCTGTAATTACTCTACAAATATTTCTACTGTTAGGCATAGTTCTGAAGATCTGGTAATTGGATTTTAAAATACTCCTTCTAAAACATAAGCGAATGAGGTTAAAACTAACACAGACAGTTTTGCATATCCCAAAGCAGGTAATTGAAATTAGCAGTGACCTGAATACCTTAGTCTTGGTGACGTGCATCAAGGATTTCCAGCAGGAGTTATTTCTTTGGCAGCAGGAAGCATTGACATTGCAGCATGGAAGGGACTTCTTGTGGCATAAACCCAGAACTTTGGTAACCCAAAAAGCTGTGTATTGTTACGAAACTGAAAGTGCATTTAAAACCCCCTCCTTTGATAGAACTACTACCACTTTTCAGAATGGCTGTGAACGAGATTATGCAACTGCTGCTGATTTAGTCAGCTCAATGACTAAGCATGCCTCATTTTTTCATAATGAAAAACCACAGAGATATATGTGTTGAGGGTTCTCAGTTGAAAGCAGGGCTAATTGGATTTGGAAATAAACCTGTTATGGCTTCCTCCCTGCTTCCACAGTTTGCTGAATTTTCTGCTGTTACTGTCAGAATGGAAAGCCAGCATTAGAAAGCTGAGGAGAGCAAGATCTTTTTATTTCTATAGAAATTTGCAACAATATTTTCCTGTTTTTCTGTGACTAGAAGTTTGGGGGTTTTTTTGCATTTAACTGATTACTCTTTATCATGGTCTTTTGTAGCAAGTTGTCTCCTGTGTACTGAATCCATATTGAATTATATTATTTTTATTGCAATGATTTCCTTTCCTTTTAGCCTTTATTCATTTATTTATTTATTGCTTGTTTTGATGCTAAATTACTATCCTTTCCCTTAGCTGCCTTCCAATTCAGGTCTCATTTATCTGTAGCTCTCTTCTGCTCTGAAGAATCCTTTCTTTTCTGCACAGCTTTTTTTCCCCTGTGCTCATCCTGGCCTCCCCTGTTGGTTACATTTACATTATAAATTCTATTTGCTTTAGCATATATCCAAAAGTGCAAACAGTTCTTTCATTTAGTTGAGCTCTATATTCACATTCTAAATTTTTTGCTCCTTGTGCAGTTTCTTACTCCTTTCTGACCAACTAATTTATCAGGGTAGACATCACTACAGCCTTTGATGGAGAAATATCTCTAGAGACTTCCGTGCAGCGACAGAAGAGCTCACTAAAAACAGTTGCTCACAGCATTCTTGCAGGAATTGAGAAATATGTTTTAGACTTTTTCATTATATGATACTCTACCCTACTCTACTGTACTATAATTGCTACCATTACCGATACGTTAAATGAATTTGGTAAACATAAGATAAATGTGCCAATTTCTACTACTGACAGAGAACAAATTTACTTCCATGATGGCTGTGAGTCAGACCTCATTGGTAGTGATGGTACACAGTTGTTGAATTAGTTAGGCATAAAGAAATATTTGTGATCTAAGTCATGACAGGTGGTGATGGAGAGTTAGATTTTTCCTTACTGATGCGGATTTGTTTACACATGTAAGGATGGCAGGAGACTTTGGGGGTGGAGTTATGCTGAGGGTACACTGAAGTACCCTGAGGTGTTGCCTATGGTTTATCATATGATTTCAGCTAGTGCGGGAAGGAATGAATAAACTGAATGACAGGTATACTGCTCCTGTCCTACTTCTGCCATTTCAAACACCTCTGTTTTTGCCCATTTTAGACCAGCCTTGTGAAGCTGCTTTTGATGCACTGGGCAAATCCCAATCTTCTTAACTGCAATAATGAAAAACCTTCAGGTAGGTGAAAATCCATGTATATTATGTAGGTACTAGTTCCTGTGACACTGTTTTCTTTCCTTCTTGCTTTCTTCGTTATACACACACAGGCACACACATATATGTGTGTATACACATAGTTTATGTAGTGTGTAGAGTTATATACACATATGCCCGTGTGTGTATATGTTTTTTCATATAATGCTGAGAACTGCTAGTCATGATCATGCAGGATGTCATATCAAATGATAGCACGTTTTTCCACTTGTTGCATTCCCTGTTTATTTTTAGTTATGTTTCTTCCTTGTAAGTTCTTCAGTGCCTTGGTGATAGCTGCATTTACACTTCCTTGGTGACTTCTCATTGAGTTCCTTTCTCTGTCTCAACTGATGATAGCACATAGCCTCATGAACTGGAATCTCTATAGCTGTTGACTGAAAACAAATTCACCATCCAGTTTTCAAGTGTAACACCTGTTGTTTCCCACAGAAGAAGGCACATTCCTAGACCAGATAGCAACAGGGAGCTGAAGCACTGGCTCTAAAGATAACAGAGTTATAGACTATATTAGGTTGGAAGGGACTTCAGATGTGGTCTAACCCAGTGATCAAAGCAGGGCTAATGCAGTAATGCTAGATAACAGTGTTGGAGAGAAGAAACATATGGTTGTTCAACCTTCTATGCCTAGGATAAAATGAAGAAGGAACCCAGTAATGTAGAAAATAGAATCTTTCTGACAGATTTCAAGGAGAAACTTCCTTTGCATAATAAACTAAGACATGTTATGCTTCAAATAATGTGCCACCTACAAATACACTCACAGGGAACTTTGTGACACTTAACCTCAGGAAAGTTGTTTGTGATTAGATACCTGCCAGTTTGTATTTGTATAAAAGGCTATGGACCAAACAGATCATCTAACAATAGAGCTAGCTAACCACATTTACTATGTATTTAACACAGTTGAGTTAACTACATTTCTGGTCTGCAGACAAAACTGATTTCAGCACTTCTGTATGTGCAAGAGAGATAAATCTAGTTTGTAGAAATGTAAAAGGTTTGAAAAGGATTTCAGTACATGTTTTCATTGAAATGGAGTTGAACAAAGTTACGTTGCTTTTCCTGAAGTCCTATGAATTATTGAATAATACTTCAGTTCACTAAACAGTGAGAATGGTTTTGAGGTTTTGCAAATGACAACTTAATTCCATACTGAATTTACTTTGCCTTTGTTTTCTCAGTAATTTCAAGTATCATTTTATGATCAATATCTGAGCAATTCTTTTCATTTTATCTAGTCGGATGCTTAATCTTAATCTTAATCTGATGTAGAGATTTGAACTGAAAGGAACTTTTCTGCACCATTTTCTTTGTCTGATATCTTGGTGTTCCAATGTCTTAGATGTTGCAGCTTCTGAGTTTATTGAGGAAATGCTTCTGAAGGCTGAAATTGTTTGGGAGGAAAAAATGAAAGACCCTTTAGCTGTTTCTACTTTATCTCAAGAAGAGCCATATGAAGAGATCATCCATGATCTGCCCACAATTTCCAATAAACTGTAAGTGTTTCTGTTGTTAAGAGTGATGCACTGAGGCCAAATTATCATTTGAACTGTATTTGTCAATCTGTGAATCTTGTCTGTGTGTCTTTGGAGATATTCAAAACCCATCTGGACATGGTCCTGGGCAACCGGCTCTATGTGTCCCTGCTTAAGCAGGCGGGTTGGACAAGATGCCCTCTAGAGGTCCCTTCCAACCTCAACCATTCTGTGATTCTATGATTCTGTGCAATTTGATGGGTCAAGTAACTCTTTCATTTTGGAAATCTACTGAATCGTCTTTTGTATTTGTATCCCTCCTTTTGTCAACCTTAATTCTATATAGACTATGAGTAATAAAGTACATTTTTATCATTGCCAGTAAAATTATCTGGGGTTGCCTTAGCAGAATTATTGGAGGTTAATACTGTAGACCCAAACATCCTTTTATTAAGGTAGATAGGAATAATGTAGTAAAACTACCATTGCTTATGAAAGAAGCAGGGACAAGTCCTGAAAGTAAAAATAATATGTACAATCACAGATAAAATGGTATCGTTCCAGGCAGTTAAAAATTTGTAGTTAGATTTATACTGCTTAAAAAGGAAAGCAAAAAAGGAAGAAAACATTTATACATGTTTAGGGAAAACACCTTTCCTCCCCCTTTCTGAAGCTCAACTTCACTCCCAGCACCTCTTCTCTTTCCCCTTGTTACTGCTGCAGGTTACACTTAATCCCTTCAGTGAGGGATTCAGGGTTCAACAGGGCAGGGTTGCAGTTATTTCTCTCTGCTGCTCATTCCTTCTTGCTCTTTTTCTGTGCTTTGGCATGGGTCCTCCATAAGCTGCAGTACCTTTGGGGGTGTACCTGCTCCAGCGTAGCACCTCCAGGTGTCACAGTGCCTTCAGGGACTGCACATAGCCTCATGACTATGAGGCTCTGGTGTGGACCTATCCACGGGCTGCAGTTCTTCCAGGGGTGTACCTGCGCCAGCGTGGCTCCTCCATGTGCCACAGAGGAAAAGAGCAAGAAGGAAGCAGTGGCAGAGAGAAATAGCTGAAGTCCCTTCAGGGGGTGGTGGTGCCTGCTCTGCCATAGAGCACCTCCTCAGTCCTCTGACCTGGTCCCTCTTTTGTTTCTCAGTCTTTTTGTTCCCTCTTCCTCTCTCCCTGTGGCATTTTCTGCCCTTTCTTAAATATGTTTTCACAGACGCGCCACCAGCTTGGCCAATGGGCTCTGTGTCCTATGGTGGGTCCATTGCAGAGCTGGCTGAAACCGTGTCCAGCATGGGACAGCATGTGGCCTCTTCCCACAGAGACCCCCCTGCAGCCCCTCTGCTACCAAAACCTTGCAGCTTATGCCCAGTACAGCAATTTGCAGGAAATGCACTTTGCTTATTGCATTATATAAATTTTAACAGCATCTCATTATACGGATTTACAAATGTGTTTGTGATGTACCATTAATTAATGCATTGCCATCTTATCTGAGTGTTTCTTACTGTTTTGCTAAAGTATTATCATTTGTGAATAAAATGGTGGAACCTAGCCCATGAAAATGGGTGGCAGTGGAGGCCAACGAGTAGGAGCTGGTTTCGTATTGGTGACCACATTGTCATATTATCAACATTTGTCTTTCCTTTCTATTACCAGTATGAGTTTCTTTGAAGGTTGACCAAGTAAATAGCTGAAGGACAGAATTTTACTAATGTCACGAGGTTTTTTGAAGGTTGACCAATGCAGCAAACCTAAGGTCTATGCTGGAAAGCTTTGCCAGTTTTAATTCTAATGGTACAATCAGAAGAAATTCTGTTACTCCACTGGCAAAAATATCTGCACCAGAATACATTAATTGACAGAGCTTATAGTTTAGGAAATTAAATTGACTGTATCTGTTTAAGGTGATTTTAGGCTTGTGGTATGGCTGCAATGATCACCACTGCACTTCTAGTTTAGTACAGGTACTCGTAGAACTTTTCTTGATGAAATAGTCCCTAAGCACACAGATAGTGCAGTCATGTAGGTAGTAATAAATACTAAAAAATTAGGAACTTATTCTCAAAATAATGCTAACTTAATCACATTATATATTTTCTGATACATATTTAAGTAAGTAAATATTAATTATAGCAATGGATGTGTTTCAAAATCAGCAGAAGAATGGGAAATAAAATATACATAGATGTGTTCGAGACAACAAAGCAGAAGAGAGGTTACATTTTTCTTCTTAACAGAGCATTTCCGTTTAACCAATTATGTAGCAATTTGCATTTCAATTATTCTAGTGGTTTCAAATACTCTTCTAGCGTTCAATCCATTCTGAAGTTTCTGTTATGTAACTTCAAAAAGTTTTTTAGACTGAAATTTCAGCGATGATGCAGTTTACAGATGTTAACTGGCTTAGAAATTGTTTGGAGGATCTCAGAATTGCCTGTGGAAGGATTACAGTAACAGAAGTTCTCTCCAACAAAAGCTATAAGCTCAAAGAGCCCATGAAAATGTCATTCCAGAATCTGCCTTGATATAATGCTTTTTATAACATCTTTCTATCAAGTTATAAGCTGCAGTAGTGATTCAAATATTGATGATAAAACTGCCAGTTATTTGATTGTCAGCTCCCAGTTTTTTGTATGATTTCTTTTTTCTTAAAAAACAAGGACATGCTAGAGGATGGCAACTTATAGAAAACCATCTCAGTTTATCTAAAAAAAAAACCAACTACACAAAACTTCAAATTAATTCTATATATGACAGCTTATACACCTAAAAATTAAAATGACTATTCCTCCATATAGCATGCAAGATTTTTTCCCGGTTAGGTATGCCAGTAGCAACAGTCCTACCTTGTACAAATAAGATTACACTAGATAACTCTCCTTCCTGTCTATTATGCAACATTATTTTGGCTTAAGTCTCCCTTTGTGGTTAATTATCTATTAATTATCCATTAATTTTCATAAAAGAAGACAGTTCATGCTAATCCACTTGCCTACATTAACATAAAATCTTCTCTTGCACTGTCCTATAGTTCAATTTTCAATGGCATTTCTTGACTTCATCTTGTGACTAACAGAAATACATATGAATGTTAATAGAAATATTTTTCTAAAAAGCCACTGTTTTCTGGAAACATTTTATTTCAGTTTGTTTTATTTTTCACAGTGTCTTCTTGAACCTGAGTCATAATGAACTGTTGGAGTAATTTTAATATGTTTTTTCTTTCTTGTAATCATTCACATTTTTGTTGTTATATGAATTATATGTCAGCATTTCCATCACGTAAAGTCCTATTAATATCTCACAAATGCACATAATTTATAGGCTATTCTCCTGTACATCAATACATGGAACACGCCTGTTAAGTCATGTTATTATTGTCCTCTTCATTTCAAAATGCATCTGTGGAAACAGTAGGCACTCTTTTTCCCCACACTTTGCTGTGATTTACAACCTACTTCTCTTTTGTGACACCTGAAAAGTTTATTTGGTTGTGAGGAGTTTACAGCTGAATTTTGAGAAGCGTTTCTAATGTGTGTTGTATAGTTAACACAAAAGTGGTGAGATTAAATGGGTATGGTTCAACTTCACAGCAAAAAAATCCTGGATCTTCACAGTTTAAAAGAAACATCACATGAATAATAAAAAGTTATAAATGGCAGTGCTTTGGTTTTTAACAACTGAATTCATTTGGCTTATGCTTTTCTTTATATCTTTCTTCTCTTTGTCTGTGATTAAATCTTCAAAATAATTCGGACCAAAGGAATTTGAGCAGTTTTGGACAATAGCAAAAGACTACTCAAAAAGAAAACTTTATGTTTAATTATGTTTTGTTCAGTTCTGAGTCTGGGTAAAATGTGAATTAGTATTAGACATTTCTGCTTGTGGGTGTCACAGTTATTTCATTTCTTCTACCGTCTAATCACTGATATCTCTTATTCTATGACATCTAATTGCCAAGTTCATGAAAAGAGTTGGCTAATGGCTTTTCTGTTCTGCAATCCAAATCAAGAAAAAAGGCAAAAACAGTTGGCTCTTGGATCTTTTGTCCATGTAACATTTGGTAAACAAATTTATGGCCAATTTATCTTAGGTCAATCAAGGCAGTAAAAAAAAATTTATTTTCACTAGTGTTCCTCTAGACATTTTACATTGAAATGTCTGAAGCAAAACATCATTAGCAAGGAAATTGTGTATATTCGTTACAAAATGTTGATACTAATTCTTTTGATGTTTGCAGACTGAGGGTTTCATCATAAAAAAGGGTTTATTCATGTATTTTTTTCTGATGGGAAACTACTTTGACTTGTTTTCCAATGAATTCTGCTTGGAAGGTGCTTTGCCTTTGCTTAGGACAGTACCTTTCTAGAACTGCCTGTGTTTCAGTTTTGTTTCCAACAGCAATGGAAATCAATGTTAGCTATGGGTCCTCCTTCATTTCATTTTAGTTAACTGTATGTATAATCCTGGCTTTATTATAGTCAGTGATCAAACTCAAGTAACTTAGAGTAAAAGTGCGATTTTTTTTTAAACTAAGTTTGACATCTGGGCTTTATCCCGTAGTGGAATGCACTATTCCCACATTGAGTCCACATTTCCTTTCAAAGAAATTATGCACACATTTTGGCAAGGAGCTGCTGTACGCTCCGTGAGATTGTCTCATTTGCACTGTCAGAGCCCAGACAATTATTTTTTAAGATGTTTGTGTTCTCAGCTCCTGGAGCTGATTCCTTGCTAATTCCTCTGGATGTAAAATCCTGGATGATTTTGGCATTGTTGTTTTTCAGATGTGTGATATGGTCTGAAGTGTCAGTGGGGAAAACATCTCCATGCCTGTAAGAATAGGTTTAACTTATATGTGAATGAAGAGTATTGTGTATCATTACAGTAATTTCAGGAGTCTGCTGTTTGCTTGGGGTTTTTTTAGCATATCACAAATTCAAACCAATCTTCGATATTGCCTGATTAAAAGTAAGCTAAAAAGTGGTGAAATTTAATTTTATTAACCACAATGGCAATATCTGTACTGAATTATTCTAAAACATATTATTTTTCAAAACAGTATTGAATAGGTTAATTGTGTATTTTAAATTCAGTTTCCAAATTGGCTATTGATTTGCCAGCCTAGTGCTGTCAAAAGCAGACTCATGCATATTCTCTTTGGCTTGCTCAGTTCTGCTTCAGAAAAGATATGCATAAAGGTGAATTTTAAATCAAAGTGTTTTGCTCTGTGTCTTTGGGAACAGACCAACCTATGTGAACAGTTTATTCCTCACCAATTTCTTTTGTGTACTTGGACCAGGAACTAGTGTCTCAGCCCCGAATTGTATCTTAGTTCTGTGTTTGTGCCACCCACATTTGGCAATCTTTTGTTTGTCTGACATCTTCAGGAGGAGTCTAATTGCTTTATTGATTCTCTTTGTAGCAATCCCCTGGCTTTACCAATTGCCAAGCAAGACAGTTTGCTGGAGAAAGACACCATGTTTAAAGATGCAGCTAAAGGCTTATGTAAGCAACAATCTCAAGACAGTGCATCTGAAAATGTCACTGTGAGCACTGCAACCAAACTGGAACAGGTAACAGCATGCAGTTCTGGAAATGTTTGTTAGGGCTTAGGTCTGGAAATTGTAAACTTAATGAAGCGAAGACCATAGTAATTTTTTTCCCCTCACCACAGAGCAATATCATTTGTGCTGTGGAGCCTTGTCTCCTTGATCAATCCCTGCAATCAGTCTGGCCCTGCAAAGAGTTCCTCTCTGCAAATTGAACAGCTGCTTCCTGCCAGCTACTGGTGGCAGGTCAGGGGCTGTGGCAGTCGGAGGGCTCAGAGCTCCTCAAACTCTATTAATGGTTCACAACAGGGGAGGGACAACTGTTAGCGCTGCCCAAAGTGTGCTCTTCTCTCCAACTTCGGTTCACAAAGGAAAGAAACACAGCCTGGGAGACTGCAAAAACAAAAAGAATGTCTAAGGAATATTACGTTGCAAAATAAGTGACTGCAATTTAAAGGTAGGGATTGCCAGATTTACAGCTGCAGTGTTAACTCCCTTTCTTGTGCTAATGCATTAGGATACAGGCACTGATTATTTGGATACCCTTTACAATTTTCTCCACAGGATCACAATCTCATTCAGTGTATAGGGTGAATGCAAAAGGAGGCAATTATCTGTTGCTTGTAAATCTGGCATGTCCTAACTTTGAACGGTTAGGACTTAAATGTTTGGGTTGTTTTTTTTTTTTTTTTGGTACAAGGGGGTTTATTTTCTGTCACATGTATTTGGGAAACACATATTCCAGAAGTATTTAGCCATTTAAGAAAAAAAATACTTTAGAATTGAGGGGTGGAGGGGAGAATTTCCATTTAAAATAATTTACTGTGAGTTTGAAGCATAACAAAAGAGCGAGATACTGATTCCATTTAAACCATGTTCAGTTCAAAATAAATGCATAACTACCTTGGCAGAATCATGCACACTCCACTGCTTTTTTTTTGAACGCATTTCAGAGGAATGTGTTAATCATATGAGATCAGTCAGTGAGTTCATGTGCCAGTCATACGAGACCACCTCTGAAAGTCCTCAGCTTTGGAATTCCATAGAGCACTCATTTGCCTATTCAGTCAGAAGATACCACAAAATGTTTTGCACTTGGCTTACATCTTGTTTTCATGTCATACAATTTCTGGCCTTGCTGACTGTGTAGCGATGTGATGAAAATACAGTCAATCCAAAAGAGGAGCACTGCTGGTCAGAAAAGTAAATGCTTGCAACCCTATAAGAAGGAACCCTCCTATAACTATAGGAAAAGAGAGGGAGGTGTTTAGCTTAGGGTCTTGCTGAGACTATCACTTGCTTCTAGATGTTCAACAGGAGTGTGGACAAGAACACATATACTTCCTTCTGCTTGATTCTGTTTTGGTACGGACACAGCTAAAATTATTCAAGTTTTCGTTATCTCTAGGCTAGACTTCTGCTCTCTAGTTTGTGCAGTAAAACATATGCAGAAACTGATTGGAAGAAGAACAGCTAATCTCCCAGGCGAGAAAGAGCAGCCAGAGGTTTCCATGCTGGCAGTTTTCTCCTCTCCACCATGATCTGTAGTCACTTCAGGGTCACAGGGCAGATTTTCAAAACTTTATTCCTCCTACTGTTTCACCATACTTCAGTGCAACTTTCTACAACAGTTACAATTCAAAGACAAGACAGCAGAATTAAAGGTGAATCTCTTTTAGCTCCATTAGCTGAGAAATTTCAGCAGAAAACCCTGTGAAATTCTGCTCTACATGAGCTAGAAAGAATGTGTATCTTGTGGTCTTTTAGAAGCAGTAGAATCTACAAACCTTGCCCAATATCTACAGTTGCTGAATAAGCAGTGATGCTTCTTTGGAAATGAATAAGCAGGAACAGTCCTATCTGGGAAATCAGCGCTAACATGGGATAGGGTAGAAACCGTGCTATTTCAGCTGTTGTGTTTTTAAATGACTGGTTGCAGTAAAAAACCATCATAGATTAACAGAACTTTCCAGCTGGCAAGGCCTTAATAAGCTTTGGCTCTTATGGACAAAAGAGGGTAAAAAAGTTTAATCACTTCAGGAAATAGTTTAATTTTAGGAAACTAAAAATTTCCCGTGTTATGTCAAAAGAAAAAAAGAGGGTTTTTTCTTTTTTGAAGTGACATAATTGTGATCCTGGAAACTGGCCTTTCTGTCATAGATATTTCTTGTTTCAGCATGTTCTTGCTAATGTTTTTTGTTGTATTTATTGGCAGTCTCAGTTTTTTACAGAACATTAAGCTGCAGTGACGTAAACACATTGCTTACTATGAGCAGTGCTTTGTTTCTTCCATTCTCTTCTCTTGTGGAATAAGGAGATACCTATCACAAGCTGGCCTCTGGCCCCAAGAATCAAGAGGCAGCAAAACCTGCCATAGTTGAAGAAAAGCAATCAATCAAGACCAAAATTTCTGTGCACTTTGAATATTCTCGTTAATGTATTTTTTGTTACCCTGTGAGGATGGGGATTGTATTCTATACTACTTGCCATGCATTATGAACTGTAGGTATATGTATATCATATCCATATTTGTGTATATAATATAGAGATCTTAGTTTTCAGAGATGATATTTCCAAGTAACACATTCTTATTTTTTTTATTTCACAGTTTGGGAAGTAAAATTTTTCTTTAGTGCTGATACCAAAGGAAAGCTTTGAACAACCCTTTCCCCCTATCCCTGCCTCTTGGGTAGACTAATTCTAATGAGTTTCACTATCTTCTATTCTTACCAGTTGCATTCCAAACTACATTCAAAGTAATCATGTACTGTTTAATTTTTCAATAGGATATGTGGAGTCATTACTTGGATTTTATGTTCATCTATTATTAAAATAGATCAGCATTATATTTCCTATGCATTCTGTCAGAAATTTCATACATTCTTAGGCAATATGGCATGCAGATTAGGCCTTTATTGGGGGATCAGAGAGAAAAATTTCATCTTATTACATCTGAAACATGCATTTTTAGTAGAGAAAGCTCGTAACTTTTTTGGCTTTGAGAAAACTAACAGCTCATATTTTTATGTAGCCTCAGGGTTTTTTAATTGCAAAAATAAAGAAAAAGAGCCTTAACAAAATATTATTTCTCATGAAGTAAGATTTTTATTACATGAAGCATAGGAGATGGGGATCAAATGGCTACATTGATAAAGCATTTTGGGTCTCTCTTGGCTTGTATTAGCTTTTGCTTTTTCGTAGGTAAAAGATGTCCTTTGATCATCTGTAATGTCAAGGTCTGTGCTGCCAAACAAAGAAAGCAGTATGAATAATTTCCAGAATTTTATCATAGCTGGCAGTTGCTCTTCCTCTCAGCTGGGAAGCATATTTTTCTGATAACAGATTGAAATTACTGGCCTGGAATTGAATTATGTGCTTCATGCTACAAAGAAATATAGATTAAATCTTTTTTTTTCTTAATTGGGTCTTTTTAAAAAAAATATTTTGTCTTTGGCTTATAATTCTTGCTTACATATTGTTGGCCATATGAACTGTGTGATAGAGTATACTCTGATGCCCTTTTGATTGTTCTAGTATCACTTACCACATACACAAGGGACAACCACGTATGTCGTACTATTACACATAAGAGCTAAAATGCATACTTATTTCAGTGACACAAGTGTTTACAAAAATAAAAATCATTAGAGATTATTATCTGAGCAGATTGTGAATGCTGTTAAGTATATGTAATTTAAATGAGTAAATAGGAATCATCATTGTTAGCATTACAAAAACCTCAAAAACTAATAACCTCCAGAGGCATAGTTATATTGGAACTTATGCTGTATTTATGGGTATTTTTCTTTTATGTCTCATAAAATATGCATCGTGTAATCAGTATGATAGCCAGATACATGCATCGAGGCGAAAAAATAGAGAAAACTCATCTGTATGCTCAGAAAAGTAGATGAGAAGAACAGAATTTGAAGGAGCCCACAAATAAGTTATTATAATAATGTAAATAATGTTTACTACCAGGTCAAATCGGTTGTGACTTTAATGCATTTAGAGTTTCTAATTTCTGTGTGATTTATTTGCTCCTTGAGCTGTGAATTTTGATGCAAAGAGTGTTAGAAAATGCTGAATCACCAAATCCTAAACTTCGTAGAAGAAAAAAGTTAATGGAAACAGATTTCAATTCCCTTACTTGGAGTTTAACTGAGCACTTCACATTTCTAACCGTCTATCTATAGAGTCAGCATCTTTGGCTGTACCTAGATTATGAAATAAAAACAAGCCAGGACCTGTTGTCTGGCCTAGGGATATGTGGGATGGGTCAGTGCACATCCATAAGACAAAACTCTTTTCTCCCTCAAAAGATGGGGCCGTGCCCAAACAGCCTATGGGAAATGACTGTTGAGATGTGACCTGAATGATACCCAGGTATTATCTGCATGAGTGCTAGCTGGCATGAGCCAGCTACAAGGAAGTGTGCTAACAGTTCAGAAAATACGGAGAACCCCAGGGCAGTGCTCGAATCTAAACCCCTCTTTTATTTACAAATAAAGACATTTGTCTCTAGCCTAGCATAGGTTTAATCTTACAGGGAGAGATTAAGAGAAGCTCGTTCTCTGGCACAGGTGTTATGAGGTTTGATAGCACTCAAGGGAGTATAGTGAAGACCTATGCCTGCCTTGTTCCTGCAAGCCAAGTGAGCACACTAATAAGGGAAGGAGGCCACAGGCTTCTGTCTTTCATCTGCTTTCCCTCTACAAGAAACTTTAAAAAGTTCTTGGAATTCTTTTGTTAATTTTGTTATACTCCAATGTGCATCATCAAAAACAAATGTCAAAATGTAATTTACTTCTTTTTTTGCTAAGTGGAATTCTTGTTTTCTAGCCAGGCTTACATCCAACTGTCATGATTAAAAACAAAAAGAGCAAGAAATGTCATCTTCTGTGTGACAGAAAAATCTGTGTTTGCTTTAATAGGGTGAAGAATACACCTCCAGAATAGGTAGACAGAAAGACACAGACAGATGTAGCAGGCAACCTGTGTATGTTTGTCTTGTTCGAGACTTATATTCTGCTTTCTGAGCCTGAAAATACAAATATTTTAAAAAACAAGTATTTTAAATAGACAGGAGAAAGGAGAGTAGTCACAGTAACCTTTTGATAGAGTCCACTATTTTAGAGTACTTCTCTTCTGAACAAAATGAACCAGTGAGATGAGGACCGTGGAAAGGTACGTCGTGACATTTTCATCTGGCCTATTTGCACAGTTTACATGTTGGAGTAAGTACATTTTACATGTACCTGTAGAAAACAATCATTACACTAGCTAAGTCTAGTAAATAATCTTCTTGAGATATTTACTCTTTTGCATTTGTACTTTCATTGCTTTTCGGACTTAATGGAATGAGAGTTGTTTTCTCCACAATTTCTCAGGGAAAGAAGGAAATAGAAAGCATCATTAAAGTGTGATTGGGCAGTACTGCCTCTTGTCCTTGTAGCTATGCAGCTAGTGCATCTCAAGCTACTGTTGTAAGGTACATTTCCCTCACATGTTTTATGGGTTGCTACTTTATCTGTCTAGTTGAACATCTGTTGCAGATGGGATGCAGATTAGATGCCTTCCTTTCCTGTTTTAGTAGGTGAGTGGAAAAACATTGAAAAATCTCTTGCTAATATTCATGCTGTTACATGCATATGAGGTTTATGTATACCATTTTAGTCGTCAACATTTATTGCCTGTTGGTAGAGCTGATAAAAAAAGGAGACAGCTTTCTGTGAGGAGTTCGCCTGTTTCCTCATATACTTGTTTTAAGCATTATTTTTTACTGAATTTATTTGTCTTTAGAGGAATAGTAAGGAAATTATTAAAGACTAAAGCAGAGATCCCCAAATTTTTCCAGTCACTCTGTCAGTCCCAAAATGGAAGTTTTTTGAAGTCCCCAATATTATTGTAAAAATCTCCAGGATAGAGCTATTGCAAGAAACAAAAACGCAATAATAGCTATAGCGCTTGAAATAGAGAAAAGAGTAGAAGCGTGCCCTCCATAGATAAAAGGTACTGCAGGGCTCTGGGACTCAACAGAGGCTCTGACCTTGCAAGGCCTGCTTACATATTCCTTCCCTCTGTGAGAAGCTGTGGCTTCATACATGCTATGTAATACTTCTTAGAATTAATTTTGCTCTATTTTGCAGTTCCTTTAGTGACTAAACTTGTGTCTCGTTATTCATTACTGGACTAAGATGAAGACGAGAGTAGGTTGCGTTGGGCAAGAGACTGAAAACCAAGTATAGTACTTGACAGTTTGTTTGGACTGTAAGCAACTGCATAATATTAGGATAACTAAGACTATGAAAAAGCTTGGAAGGTAGGAAAACATGTTCATAGTGGCATGGAGTGAGTCAAACATGCAATAAGTACAGATAAAAAGAGGTGTCTTGGGGCTTTTTTTTGTGCTGCTCTGAGAGCAGTCATTTTTTGACAAAAACCTTGAACCATGAGAATATTTAGTGTAAATGAAGTGTGAGATTGATATTCTACAATTTGCATTTGTATTTCTCTATTTGTAGACTAGAGAAGGTTTCAAGGCATTGTAACTTCATTTGTACCATACCAGCATATGAATATGAGTAAAGCTGGTGAGATATTTAAACAGAAAATGCAACAAGATTTTGGGTTATGTCATAAGGGCTAGTGGTTCTGTGGTTGTGATGTCTGGTGTGCATCGTTTGTTACTTTTTGGTAAAATAGAAGAGTAAGCAACGCCATCTGTTTTATGACTATTCATTGAATATTTTGATACTGGTATTCAATACTCCTATTTTTAGAAGAAAAAATTTGATAGAGCCAAAGATCTATGATTTAGAGAAGATACAAAATCACATCTAATTCATTCTGCTTGTTTATGACTACAAACTTCCAGGTGTTGGCTCATGGTCGCCTAAAAATTGCATGCAAATGAGTGTTTGTATGTATGTTTCAAGAATCTGGAAACATGGAGATGAAGAGAGATTGTTAGTCTTATTTCATTAAGACGAAATTCTTCAGCAATATCACACCGTGGAGCTATGACAAGTGTAGGAAAAGAACCCAGAGTGTTGTGATTTCTGAACTAGACCTTGAACCTATGGGAACAATAGAAGTTCAGTAGTTTGGGATCAGATCCCCAGTGTTAAACACCAGTATCCACAGTCTTTGGGGTTGTCTTGCCAGAAGCACACTCCGTGTTCCCTTCAAAACCTCCCAGTCTGCTTGCTGCTTCTGTTACCGACTTCCTGCCACATGCTACTGCCAGAGGCTGAGGATGCCGAGTTGTTCTCCAAGAAAGGGCAGTGTCTGCTTTTCTCCTGAGCCTTCATCTTAAGCAGAACAATAGAACAAAGAAGTTTCATTTTCATTGTCCATCCACAAAACAGACATCAAGAGAGTATTTTAGTAAACTCTGAACAAACAATTCAAATAATTTTACCATCGTTCACATGAGAATTTTCTGTTTCTAGGCATTCTGCTGACTTGCAAAAATGTTTTTCTTCGGGCTGACGTAAAAAAGGAATCAACCTACATTTTAAGTGTAGATCATAATTTATAAGCACACTGCTTCATGTATCAATGTTTATTTCGTCTTTAATCAAATTTCCCTTATCACTGACTCTTTTTTCTTCTGTCTCCTATTCTGTCTTTTGGATTTTGTTTTGTTTTCCTTGGCATTTACTTTACCTTGCAGAGCTTATATTATTCCTCTTAAATCTCAAAAACGTTAAGCTCATTTCATTCACCACTTTTGGCTAAAGTAGCTGCTTCTGAATCTCTTCTGGTCTCCTTAACAACGTGATTCCCACTTCTTATTAACTTCCTTCTATTCTGCAGGAAAAATTCTAACAGAATTTTAAACCCTGTATGATGAAGGGTAGTATGAGAGCTTTGTTAAATGCTGTGCAATAAATAGTTTAAAAGTGCACTAACTTTTATAGTCTTGATTTCTTCTGCCATAAACATTTAATGAAGAGAGCAGAATTGCATTTGAGCTGGGAATCTTTATGGGTTCAGGGATAGCAAATGGCACTCTAGTGGGGTCTAAGTTCTTAAGAGCCCATCAGACTCATGCAGTTACACACCTTAACATTGATAATAATTTTTGATGTTCTTTTCTTGCTTAAGATAAATGACGTGTAATTGTTTGGGAGGAGTGACAACTTTCCAGTTTCCTAATGCTTTTTTTTCCATAAATTCTAGTAATCTAGGTTTATACTTCAGGTTAGAACATTACAGTACAGAATGATTGGTTGTGGAGTTACTTTATTTCTCTAATTTGTGTTTTCTAGATCAAGCTAATGCCTCCAGCTCCAAATGACGACCTGGCTTCTCTGAGTGAGCTAACAGACAGCAGCCTGCTTTATGAGATTCAGAAGCGTTTCAATAATAATCAGATATATGTGAGTTGCTACTCACCTATCAACAGTAAGCTTTCAAAAAAGAGCAAGTGGGAGAATAAGAAAAATAGGATTACTATCATAAGTACTGGACAGTAACCTGCCCCAGATTCATGACTAATATTTAAAAGCATCAGGACATATGTGTGCAATTTCTCAAGTTTATATAGGAAAAGCAGAAATAAAAAATGGAATAACATTTCACATAGTTTTGGATAAAATTTTTGTGTGTCTATTTCAGAGAACAAGTGTATTGGTAAAAATTGATGGGCACGTGTAATCTTCCCTCTCAAACTACCAAAAGATCCTTCCATCTTTAACATTATGTTAACTTATTTTTAATAGAGCACATGATTACTGGAAATGTAAAAGAAACTTAGATTTAAAAAGCTTAGAAATCAGCATAGGAGATTTAATTACTCATTATCTCTTCCTATATTACAGAAATAATTCTCCATATTGCAATGTTAATAATCTAGATACCAAATGAAATAATTATAGCAAGGTTTTTGTAAAGCAGGTTTTCCTGGTTTTGCCAAAATAAACTCGGGAGGCATCTGGTTAGGTGTAGATTACTTCTGGAGAAAAAACTGCACTTGAAAAATTTTGGTATCCCTGTTCTTATCTTATTCATGACTTATTTCTAACTTACTGAACAGCTGCATGGCATGTTAATGTGAAACATGCAAATTGTTTTTAAATGTGTAAGTTGATTGCACTGTTTAGACTAAAGGAATATGGAGAATTGGCATGTTGCTGTGAATACCTTTGAAATTTTGGAAACTTCAATTCTAGCTGTTATGGCATTCAATGATAATAAAAATCCTGTTTTTTAGAATCATGGATCAAATCCTATTTTATTATGAGTATTTCTTTTGCTTTATCTCACTTTCAAAGGTGCCAAACACAGATAGCTTTAACTGAATTCAGGAGGATCCACAGATACTCAGTATTTATAAAAAGGAAGCCTTCTTTTATTTTAAAATATTGAAGATTTTACCTAAGAGGATCTCATACCCTGCTCTGGCATTCTCCTTAGCTTAATGGAAATTTATAGGCGGTGATCATTAATATTCTGCTCAAAAGCAGCCATTGTGCACCTTTGGGTGATTTGGTTCTCAGACTTAGAAGGAGAAGTCCTTGGACTCCAATTCCAAACTAAAATCCTCCTTAGCACTGAACACATCCTGTTTCATGTTTCGGCAAGCTTAGTAAAGTTCCATTCTGCAGGAAAACCCAACAGTGAAGTAGGGGCGGGGGAAAGAGACGAAATAAATTACGGCATTTCAGAAGAAAAATAGTACATTTACTATGAAAGGCAATATTTTACACCTCCCCAAATCAAAATACTTCATTTTGAAAAAGGCAGCATGACTGGGACTGTTCACCTGGTGGTTTACTGTCTGACCTCTTCAGAGACAGAGGCCTGGCATTTTTGCATTCTAAGAGCGTGATACAGCAGCAGCTACTTCTGTGGAGCGAGAAGTATAGCAGCAAGGGGGACCTACAATCTTATACTTAAGCACATCTTTCACATACGAGTGTTTAAATATGAAATAATAAAATCTTGGCACCTTTGCAATCAGTGGATGGTTTGCTATTTTTAATATAGCCAGGATTTTTTTTCTATATGTATGTATGTATGTTCATATACACATACACATGTATAAATACTTATATATGTATCAATTGCTCAGTCTTATCCCACAAGCAAAATATTTTAATGTATCAATTCTGCGTAATCAATATAGCATTTCTAAATTCTGTCATCTATCCCATAAAAAATTGCTTGAGAAGCTTGTTTATGTGGTAGGCATGTCCCATTTTTGTAGTTTAACAAATAGTAAATTACAAATTAACTTTCAAATAATCTACCAATAATATATGCAGTGCAATTCTTCTATGCATAATTTTCCATTATGAAGAACTCCTTTTTATTACAAAAAGAATATTAAATGCTATCTGAATTGTAAATTTAGATCTCAATTTAAAGTTATGAAGTTAAAAGCTCTGAATTAGCAGATTATGTTTAATATGTTGATAGCTAGATTTAAGAGGCTTTGCCAAAAGTCCTTTCTGGAAGGAATCTATTAGCCTCCTTAAAGATTTAATTTATTCCTTAATAAAGCAATTTAATCTTCTTCTTTTTTCAGACCTACATCGGTGATATACTGTTGCTTGTTAACCCATTTAAAGAACTTCCTCTTTATTCTACAATGGTAAGCATACTCTCTTTAAAATGTTACAGTGTGGATCTTTATCAGTGGATTCATATAGTGTATTTGGCAGGTCAAAACCCTAAAATTAATTAACATATATGCCCTTTTTTGTGTTGGGAGCATCTTAGCTTTAAAATTTTAGCAAAAATTCTTTAATTTCTTCCAAGATACTGCTATTTTTTCTGTGCCTTATTTGTAAAACAGCCATCTTGCTAATGTTTTGTATGAGCAGTAGCACTTTCGATTGTTTAAAAGTAGTTCCTGATGTATAACATGACCTTGGTGGTTTCTGTCACTGCCAAACTTGCAAAAATAGACACATACTTCATGCAGCGGTTGTTTGAGTTCACACCCCCCTTGCCCAAAACACGATTACGGAGGTAGCAACCTTGAATGGTGCAGAAAGGCTGAAAATGGCTGGCTGTGCTCCACAGCAGGCCACTCAGTTCAGACACCGTACAGGCAGTGAGTGCGAAGTGCGCGGCCTGAGCTTAGCACTACGCTGGGGCAGTCGTACGGTGTTGGGCGCAGGCAGTATGTGGGCAAAGGGAACTTGAGTCCCTGTGTGCACTGCCATATGCCCAAGGCCACTTAGGAAGTGCTTCAGATGTTTCTCTCTCGAATAGTAGTACCCTTATCTTTCTAATCTTTCACTTATGAGACAGACTCGTTATTTACAAGGGGGTTATCATTTCAGTAGCTAGACATTGATACTAACTGAAGTGGACTTTGTAGATCAGTGGGAGTAACATAAATTCAAATGATTTGATCTCTGTTTCATCCTCACTCAGCCATTTTAGAGACAGAGTATTAGCATAACTGTTGATTTCTTTCCCCTCCTCCCCGTTATTTTCTCATTGTTGCACTGAGATCGCATTACTGCACAGAGATCAGGCTCGCTGTTGTGTTAGGGAGTGTTCAAATGTTTATTTAGCTTACAAGAATTATAAAGGGTTCAGAATTTGGTAAGCGAACTAGTCTGTGGCTGTTTGCTATGTCATGTGGCTGTTTGCTATGTCATGTGGCTTTGTGTGTATCAGTAGTAAATTTGAGAGAGAGAAATGTTGTGACATTCAATGGCAGTAGTAGCAGATTCCAAGTTGGGAGTCTAAATTTAGTTTCTAGAAATGGAAATCATCTATCATCCCCAAGGTTTTAGACGATGATATTTTTTCCTGTCACTGTGTATTTTACGTTAGATACATTATTTTGTGCACCAAAAGAGAACTGTAAAGAATAAGAATTTAGGTGGCAGGCTTATGTATTAAAATGTTTCCTGAACGTTTGCTGCATCTTCTCTTGACTTCTCTGTGATAGGTCTATTTTAGCAAGTTTAGGGTGAGACACTTTTTGTCCTGTAGTTGTTTGGGTCACCTTGGATGATAATTGCTTTTACTCCATCATTATTGTCTGCGTGGTATTGTGCATTAGGCAGGTATTTCCTAGATGATCAAAAAACCATGGTTGTAAATTAGCTTTGTTTTCTCCATTTTTGAAATGCGCAAATATACTGCAGCAGCTTAGCTGGTATTATATCGAAGTCTGTAAGTGTTAGATGGTCTGTATATTAAAGTAATAAAAATTGATGATGTCAGTTCCTTAGTAGACACTGACATGCTATATGATGTGGCTCATTAGTTAGCATTTTTGTTTCAGGTATGTGGTTTGTTAGCTGTCAAAAAAAGAATGCAAAGATATATTGGGCATGATACTGTTTTTAAAACCAGGATGAAGCAATGAAAAGATTATCATGTACACTTTTCAATAACAGCAACACTTCAGGTTTTCTTCTCTTTTTTAAAAACACTTTTCATAACTTCTCGGCAATCTTTGTTTTGTTATCCTACACTGACCTCCCACACTTAGTTCCAATAGAATGCTACTAAAATAAATCTTTTTATAAGCAATTACTCACTCTGAGATGACATAAAGAATCATACGTTAATGGACACTGATATACATTGCTTCATATGCAATTCAATGCAATTGCTAGATGATAATATTAATGCAGTTTTACACGGAAATACACTGTACTACTATATTATACATTATAGTAGCACTATACTACTAGAACGTGCAGACACCACTTCAAAGGTATGATAGTAACTGTTTGTAGAAGCAGCTTGTGCTACAGTCATCCTGCTTTGTTACATTTGTGCGGAATTTATTTGTGCCCGATTAGGGCAAATATATTCTTCAAGTTTGTATGTTAGAAAAATATGTAAACTTGCAAAGCACTTGCAACATTATGCAATGAGAATAAGTATGTGAAGGATTTTCTTTCTGCTTTGTGACATGCTGAAATGATTCCTTGAGGTTCGTTGTGGATTTAATCTTGTTTAGTCTGGTAGCTCGAAAGGCCTGAATGAGAATAGGGCCGTATTGTGGAGGATTCATTCAGCCACAGTGTTGTAGATGCCCCAAGATTCAATAGTTTAATATCTAAATAAATAAGGCAGGCATGGGACGGGAAGGGGTGGTAAGCACCTGATTAGTTTGGAGAAAGGAGCAAATACAAAATGGCACTGCGGTGGAAAGTCTGTTAGAGAGAATAGTTGGAGAAAACTGGCCATGATAGAAAGGGAGGGATTTGGTTGTTTAAGTGATAGCATCCAGTATCATTCGAGATGCTTCATATTGTTCCAATTATCCCCCCGCTGCCATGGGTTTCTGTAGAGCCTGTATTAATTTTCTAAACCCATGAGAAGGTCTGATAAAAGCTATATATAAAGGTAGGTAAAGTTATTTATTTAAGGATATTTGTAGAATGGTATGGTGTTTCTGCTCACAATCTTATCTAAATCACATTCTGTATTTTCTTTATTATATTTATTTATTCTGAAAGAAGAGAAATGTAGATATTAGCAGACTACCTAATTTTTCTAAAATATGATTGGTGTTAGCTGAAAGAACATCAGGATACCCTCAGAAAAAAATTGAGGTTTCAGTAGCAGATAATTGATTCTACTCATATTTAAGCTTCAAGGATAGTACATGTTGGCAGCTATGTGTATCACAGAAGTTATTCTATATTGCAGAGAGAGTATTTGTGGGAGACTACTCTGTCATGTAATAAATGAATTAGTTTATAACTTAAGCTTTTGATTTCAATTTTAACTTTTCATGCGATGATCATATTTCATTTTGTAAGATTTTTAAGTCAAGACATTGAAGAACTATAAACGTGAGGTATAAAAACGTAACTTACTAAGTTTTGTTTTACTCAATGCACAAACCAAACTATTGAGTCCTCTAGTTATGTTTACTTTTGTATCTTAATTAGATCTTCTATGCTTACAGCTCTGTTTTCTTTAAATAAAATCTTCATAGATGCTGTAATGGTACCACATATACACATACAGAGATTCTGTTCATAATGCTTAGAGAGCTTTACAAAAGACCCAGGATTAGGGGGGTGAAACATAATTAGTTTGAAATGTATTGATCATGTTAATTTTTTACAATTTTTCAGGTCACCCAGCTTTATTTAAGTAACTCTGGAAAATTGTGTTCCTCACTTCCCCCACATATATTTTCCTGTGCTGAAAGAGCTTACCACATGCTATTCCAGGAGCAGCGTCCCCAGTGCTTTATCCTCAGGTGAAAATTTATCTTTCTATTAACTAATTTGTAAGTCCTGCCTTTCAGCTGTTTCCCCCAGGACTCAACAGTTGAGATTTCCATTTTATTTTTTCCTCCAACTGATTTCTTTCTGTGTACTGATCTCTGTATAATACGTTAGAGCAATATAGAACTGAAAAAGGTTTAATTACATCTCAAGTTCATAAATTCTCGTGGGGAATTGCCACTCCATCTAGCTGCATCTAATTAGGAACAAAGGGTTAATGGTAAAGAATTCAAAACTGCTGTGTGTGTTTGCTAATATTACATGGATCAAGATAAGAAATAGAATCTAACGACAATAAAAATGGGAAGTCCTTGACTAAATTATAAACCTCTGAGTTGGGGCACCTGCATTGGAGTTTCCATTCTGCCTCACATGTTTGTGTGGCCATAAGCTTGTTATTTAGCTCTCCAACTTCAAAATGAACTTTAACCAGTTCCTTTATTCACAGTGTCGTTGCGTGATAAATAACTTCAAGATTGTGAATAAATGTATTAGAAATCTCCAGTGAAACAGAGTTTCATCCAAATATGCTGGTTTTATAATGGTGAAACTTTGAATTCACTTGGAACTTTTGATTCCCAAATATGTTAATCCCTTTTCTTCCTTCATCCTAGCTGAAAGCAACGAGTCTGGTGAATTTGATGTAGTTGCTCAAAGAAATTTGTTGCTCAGTCTTGTCACTTTGACCATTGCTGTTGGCTGAAATATTGGCAAGGGTTTGCAGAACTTCGTGGGAGATGGGGGAAAAAAAAAGGTTGATTTTGATTTGACCAGGAATAAAGGCTGATCCATTTGATAAACCTTGTAATTACTCTTGAACTACCTCTAATTATAAGGAAATGGAATACTATGAAATGGAGAGGATATGATACTCAAAAGCAGCTAATAATGATGTTTTAAAGTTACAAGAGTTAAAATGAACACATAAATACAATCATATGTATCCATTTTTATTGCATCCTCTTTATGTGGATACAGAGTCCTGTGAGTATTTGAAGTTCTGTATATTAAGTCTTCAAATACACCTGAATATTGTAATTAAATGTTTCTTTTAAAAGCATAGTTTATGAAAAAACACAGTTTATAAGTTTCTAAATTATGAATGTATAAATTAATTATGTGTGGAATATTGATTGGTTGAAGCAAATGGTAACCTTTTTATAACCTAATCGGAATGGAATAGCTGCTTATTTATCCAGTGAGCAGTGACATTTAAGCAGAGGTACAAGCAATATTAGGAAATCATTACTGTTCACATGTTCATATTATCTTCTCGTAAGTATAAACTCTTGTTTAGGTGTAATAATTTTGATAAAAATAAGAAGTGTCCTAAGGTACTGTTTTCAGCATTTTCTTCAAAGTAGGAACTTGGGATACTGCTAATTGATTAATATCTTTGTGAAGTTGCCTATAAGTGTAGACAGAGAAGAAGCAGAAAATAATATTTATTCACAGTTCAAGAAAAAGGCTAACTGCCAAGTTAAGTATTGTGTAGTAGTACACCAAGAATATTGTACTTAATAATAAATGGCTTTGATATCAGGGAATAGAAGCTGCTGATGATTTTATACCAGGATGTCAAGGTACGTGTTAAGCTCCACTGTCCTGATCCCTGCCCAGCCCACCGTAGCTTATTATAAATCAGTGACCTGATGGAGAATGTGACAAGAGGGTGCTCTGTATATCTCATCAGCACTTGACAAGACATTTACATATCACATTAAGGCAACCCGTAGATATGCTGTCCTAAAGTATCCTTTATGTGGATAATTAATTAGATCTAAAGGTCACTTGTGAAAATGGAAGCTGACAGGAAAGCATCTGGTAATTTGGAATAGGAGATAAGTATAGCTACAACTTAACAGAAACAGCTAGAAACAGTTCTTTGTAAGTAGCTTTCTTCTGCTAGCACTAAATGAGAAAACAGAAGGGAATTGAGATCTTTTAGAAGTTCATAAAGACGTATTAAAAATGGGATATTCTCATTATACTAGTCCATTGGTAGAATCTAAATAATGAATGTCTGGAAAGTAAGGGTGATATAGGAAATTTCCATTGGTTTTCTGACAATAATAATAATAATAATAATGATAATAATGATAATAATCCGAAAAATATCCTTGACGTAACTCAAGTTATTCATCTACTCCTTTGCTGTCACCTGATCGTGTGTGTGTGCATGAACTTGTGTTTGTGGTCAAAATGGACTTCTGCTTTCTTGCTATTTCAGCTGTAAAACATTAGCTATCGGCAAGAGAAGGTTCTTCCACCACTGTGAGGGATGATTCATTGGTTACCTCTATGCTAATAAACAGCATGGAGCAGGGCTTGCTTTCTGGCCCTGAGGGCATGTGGTATAGCATCCAGTCAGTTTTTCTTTGATTTTTCACTTGAAGAGGGGGTTGTGGAGAAGTTTTCAAGATCTCAGTTTCATTTCCTATCAGAACCAAATAACTGCAATTCTGCAGTTCTGATATATTCCAAGTTTTTGTGGTTTACTTTGTTTTCTCCAACCTCTCTTATCAAGCATACTTTTCATTCCTGAGTAAGAAATTCTGTACGGTTGGCCTATGGTCTGGAATTTTAAAATATCTCCAGTTATAAAGCTGAGTGGTGGATACAATTCCACGCATGCATGCATAGTGCCATGAGTGCGCCTAGTAACAAATTTTAAAAGTAAAAAAATACACTTCCCTCTAATGTGGAATCACAGGCTGAATGAAGATGGGGGAGCTCAAAGAAGCTCTCCATAGATGGAAAGTCCATTTCATATAAGCACTTAGAAGGAAGAAGACAGTGGATGAACAAGTAAAAAGCACTCATAGATCCATGAGAATGTTACACTGGAATAAGCTGGCTAGGAATGCTTCTGTCCTTCTACCTTTGGCTGCTCATTTCCTCATTTCTACAGCATCCTTTGTGTCAACACAAACATTCTGGTGGTGGCATGTGAGCTGGGCTAGAGAAATACTCTCAGGTCAAAATTACACCTGGGAGGGTGCTGGTGATGTTGAGGAGCTATTTTAACCTGTATCCGTTCCAAAGCCAAATTCCCCTAGAAGTGAAATGAGTTGCCAGAGCACATCTGGCAGGGCCCACTGGTTTTGGTAGTGGTTTTGGCTTAGACTAAATAGTTCCTAGAATCCTTGTACCATGTTTGCTGCTGCTGTAATATTGGAATGGTTGGCCTGAGACACTGTCCAACTCAGAGCTCTTAGAATGAGGAGTATCGGTGTGCCACATAGGAAAATAGCCACACCAAATCAGAAGAGTGTTAGTTTTGTTTGTTCATATTAGTAATAAATCCAGTGAAAGTAGATTATCCCTGTGGGTATGCACTAATCTTAAGATGAAATTCCCTTGATATCTGCAAGATATGCCATTTTGGCATATAAGCGCTCTTGGAATTGCACACCAAGAGTACACTTTTGCCTGCTGTTGTCGTCATTAGCAAGTGAAACATGATGCAATTATAGAATAAAATTCTTAAATCTATATTTATTTTTTAGGTCTACTTTACTTTTACTTATAATAATACTTTATAGTGTAAGTAATTTGTTAATATAATTTATAGACATAATTATGCTTTAGTTTTATTGTAAAGATTTTACCATGGGAAGAGGCTACTGTTTTGATGTACATGTTGTGATATGATATGGAGCAGTGAGAATTAGTACCATACCAGTATTTTATTTTTCATGTGCAATTCTCAAAATATGTCTAGCTTAAATATTAACTGCCTGTGGTGGGTTGACCCTGGCTGGATGCCAGGTGCCCAC